ACAAAAAATAAGGGAATATTGACATAAATTCAATCCTCTTATATGATAGTGAATGCTAAACAATTTCCTGACAGATTAAGAACAGACTTAGGATATGGTTCTACAGAAAGATACTAAAAATATCATGGACTTGACATGTAAACACAAAGGAGTTTAAATGTAATTCGAACAAATTGTGATTAGTTGTGATTACCAGCAGAAAAATACAGTTGCGGTTGATGGACATGTAATAAGAAAAGACGACTTGGAGAATCGGACACTCACAGGACATATTGAAGTGTGAAAAAGAGAATAATGTATACGTAACAGACTTATGCAAATGGATGTAAGAATAGGGATTGTGACAGATAATAAGAGAATAAATATTACTCAGAAATACAAAAGATGAGAAGTTGTAGAGAATCATGATCGCCCACATCCTGAAAGTACACAGCACATAGAAGAAGAAGAAGAAGTAGTAGTAGTAGTAGTATTAGTAATAGTAGTTGCCCTTTATCCTAAACTAAATATTCAAAGTTTCTTTAGCAAGCAGTGTGGTAGGCAATCTTTGAATTCTTGTCATCCCAGGTATGTCGGATAAAATGTAATCATTTACAACGCAAAGCATAACGTTAAAGTTTAATCTAAAAAATTGCATGAAAAGAAAACAATTTAAACAAAGTAATTCAAAATGGATTCTTTTTGACTTCTTAATGACATCAGATTTAAAAACATATAAGAACAAGAAATGTAATGCGAAATTTCACACACCTTTATTTCACAAGTTTCATTGTCATTGCGCTGCCTTGGTCATTTCACCTCAAGTGACAAGCGGCAAATGGATGGGCCACCCTGCAGCGACTCTTTCAAATTGCTAGTCACGTATCGGCTGTTGGAGGAAATATATACATGTTAATGACACCGCCTACTACTTTATAAATCAGACAGACGTGAAGTAATATTTCTTTATAGTATCTACTCGTGCTAACAGATAATCTGTCGTTAAAACTTATAACAGATAATCTGTCGTTAAACCCTAAATTCGCAATATCTTCCTGCAAAATTGTAAGAATTCACATTCGAAACAAAACAAAAATTCAAATCGTTTTGCCTTTTTTCACTTGCAACATTTGCATACTTGAAATCTTTGTGACCATGGAAGGTACTAAATTCTTTATCCAGTGGCCATGGCAGGTACTAAATTCTTTGTCCAGTGGTTATGGCAGGTACTAAAGTCTTTATTCAGTGACCAGAACAGGTTCTAAAGTCATTATCCAGTGGCCATAGAAGGTACTAAATTCTTTGTCCAGTGGCCATAGACGGTACTATAATCTTTGTACAATGGCCATGGAAGGTGCTAAAGTCTTTTTTCAGTGGCCATGGCAGGTAATAAAATCTTTGTCCAGTGGCCATGGCAGGAACTAAAGTCTTTGTCAAGTGACCATGGCAGGTACGAAAATCTTTATGCAGTGGCCTTGGCAGGTACTAAAATCTTTATGCAGTGGCCTTGGCAGGTACTAAAATCTTTGTCCAGTGGTCCTGGTGCGTACTAAAATCTTTATCTACTAGCCATAGCTGGTATTAAAATCTTTGTCCAGTGGCCATGGCAGGTACTAAAATCTTTGTCCAGTGGCCATGGCAGGTACTAAAATCTTTGTCCAGTGGCCCTAGTGCGTACTAAAATCTTTATCTACTTGCCATAGCTGGTAATAAAATCTTTGTCCAGTGGCCAGAGTAGGTACTAAAATCTTTCACCAGTGGCCATGGCAGGTACTAAAATTTTTGTCCAGTGGCCATAGCTGATATTAAAATCTTTGTCCAGTGGCCATAGTAAGTACTAAAATCTTTGTCAAGTGACCATGTCAGGTATTAAAATCTTTGTCCAGTGGCCATGGCCTGTACTAAAATCTTTCACCAGCGGCCATGGTAAGACCTAAAATCTTTGTCGAAGGACCATGGCTGGTACTAAAACCTTTGTCAAGTGGCCATGGCAGGTACTGAAACCTTTGTCCAGTGGCCATGGCAGGTAGTAAAATCTTTGTCCAAGGGCCATGGCTGGTACTAAAACCTTTGTCAAGTGGCCATCGCAGGTAGTAAAATCTTTGTCCAATGACCATGGCAGGTACTAAAATCTTTTCCCAGTGGCCATGCAGGTATGTGCAACCCGTGAGAAACAATGTGTAGGTTTAATCCAAACAGTTAGGGCAAATATTTAATGAAATATATCTGTGAGAGATCAAGATGATAAGGTCATTATTTACACTATTTATGTTCGGACTATTATCATCATCTTTGTTGTTGCTATAACAACGTTTCGGTTGTTCTGTCCTCCAGCCTTCCTCACGTATATATCAAGATGGTGGACTTAGAGAGACAATGGTCTAGTAGATATTCTGTTGGTTTGTGAATTTGGTGACATACTGATCGTGAGTTCAATCCTTGAGTTGGGCAGTGTGTACTCGCGCTCAGTGGAAACGACCGAGCAATAATTGAACAGTACTAAATAGAAATAACAAGTAGACGATAATCCTAGACATGAGGGATGGAACGAGAACAGTTTACCCTCAGAGATTAAATAAAGGGTTCAGTTCCCTATAAGTCACCCAGGTCGATATACACCTGAGGAAGGGCTGAAGCCAGAACGCCTGAAATGTCGTGATAAAAACAAAAAGCAAAAAAAATGAGAATGATAATCCGAATATAAATAGTTTAAATAATGTTAGCTCCTCATTCCAGAAATTCAGACAGAAGTCAATCGTTCATATTCAGCTTGGCATTTTATTCAATTTCTGACATTGGCCATTGTGTTTGCCAGCGGCACACAGAGCCCCGCGTCCGATGCATCAAAACTACATTCTGTCTGCAATGTGTGAGAGACTGCCCTCTTGCTCACTCGTTTATGTTATGTAATCACGTGTATTATAAATTTTTCCAATGATTGAAAAACCACATTCAGGTGTGAGGTCATGTGCTTCATTATTATGTAAATATTTTACATCGCGACACGGAAATTAGAATGCTTCGGACCTTTAAAATTGTTTCATTATCAAGCAATGTTTGGTAACTTTTAATGAAAATGATTTACTTTATTGAAAATATTAAAATATTATGCCCTACGTGGAATCAAGTACTTTTTCTAAAAAAAATAAATGCTGTAAATAAAACTGTGGATATATATATATATATATATATATATATATATATATATATATATATATATAGGGTGCGATGGGTAAATTGTCTACATTTTATATCTTTAATTTCGCGCATATGCGTTGTTTGTTTTGATTATGTCGATTGTACAATATACTAGAATCAGTTGGGTACCATCTGTGAGAGAAAAAAGAGCACCATGATGTAATTCACTCGACCAGAAATTTGGAAACGGCATACTGTATTCCTTGGCATTCGCATCAGAAACTCCAATGCGAACATTGCAGTGTTTGGTTGTCAATCTGAGAACAATGAAGAGATTTCGGAAAGAGTTAGATGAGTCTAATGGTGATTACTTAGGTACGGTAGTTCGGAAAACTCACTCTGATCGTTCTCCCGAATTTGTTGGTGAGGTCTTCATATGCAACACGGAGGCCTACATCATCTACCCTGATGAGGTAGTGCTGCTTTAGGTCCAGAAGGTGGCTAAAGAAGACCCTATGTCGGGCAACAGGACTCTGCACCATGCGACACAAGCTGGAAAACCCAGTCATGGCTGTCATACAATTGCTGCGACCACATTACCCTTTACATCTGGCCACCTGACACACTACATTGCAACCCCCTTGATTATTATGTGTGGGCCCAGTTGAGTGAAAGAACAAGAAAACTCCTTGTAACACAAAAGATGAATTTAAGGCAAAGATTATTGCGGCATTCACCAAAGAAGACCTTCCAGAAGAGATGCAGGAGATTCTGAAGTCGTTTAAGTGAAGGAGGATTTAAACGTTTTGGCGTTGTTCAGATTTTTGATCATACTAGATAAAACTCTCTCTCTAAGAATCTGTAACTAAGGTCTGCTCAGCCTAGTTGCAGTATAAATCACAGGTTGGCACTGAGGGTTTTGAACAAACACAAATGTGCCTGAGCGAGAGTCTGCAATAGGGATTGGCTAGCCACCCTAGTAAATGGATATCCTCGAATACGATTGGTCACCATTATTATTATTATGCTTGTTACACGTTGTTTTTTCTGTATTTTTAGGAATAATAAAATTTTGTACTCCTCACAAATTGTTCAATTAAATATTTACTTATTTCGCAAGGTAAATATCCATATATCACTTTTCTTATTAATCGGTGTTGCATGACTAATTCATATATGCATATATCTTTCAGATAATCTTTGAAGGTGATCTTTGAGTTAACCACTCTACAATTATCTGGTTTACTTGCTTGCTGATTTTGATAAATTTCTCTTCGGCCAGTGGTTAGTTCTTAACCAAATTAAAAACGAAAATCTTGAATACTGATTTTCTAGGAACGTAGCAGTCAGTCCCTGATTGAAAATTGCTCTAACAAAACCTTCTGGGCCTATATTCGCTTTCCATTAGCCTTGTGTCAAACAAAGCTAAACTATCGAAGATTTTCCTGGTTCTTCACTCTAATGTTAAATTAGAGTTACCAGCTGAAGACTGAGAGACAGTCGACAAACGCGCCAATGGACAGCGAATTTTGTGTAACGGAAAATGTAAGTGGCTCATTGGATTCCATGATTGTAACTAATGCCAATAGTCAAGCAAGTGAAGTGGAAGTGTCGATATGCAGATGAAAGGAAATTGTTGAACGAACACAGATGGAGATTGTTTAAAGTTGTCTATAGTTTTCCTAATTGCTCTTTTAAGAAAGAATTTGTAGAAAGTAAAAATAAAAAGGAAATGCACAACCAAATAATAAAAAGAAGAAGAGTGAAGAGAGAAGAAGGCAGATGAAGAAAGAAGAGAGAAAGAAAAATGAAGAGTAAAACGAGGGAGGAATGTAAAATCAAAGACGATGAAGAGAATAAAAACGAAAAAAGTACAGGGTTGGTCAGAAAAAGAAGAAAGAGAGAATGAAAGGATGAGATGATAGAAAGAAAGAAAGAAAGAAAGAAAGAAAGAAAGAAAGAAAAGAAGAAAGAAAGAAAGAAAGAAAGAAAGAAAAGATCTTTCTAAAATAATTGTCTCTCAAAAATTTTCTCGGGAAAAAAAAGAGTACTTAAAATTTCAGAAAAATCGGAAATAGCAGAACGATTGAGAATTTGTCCTGAGAGAGAGATAGATAGATGGATGGAAAGAGTGACAGATAGCTAGACAGATAGGTAGATAGAGTGACATACATAGAAATAAAAAAAGAACGAAAGAAAAAAGAACAAAAGAAAGAAAGAGGGACATAGTCAGAGAGATAGATAATGAATATATATATATATATATAGGTGAGTGCGTATATGTGAAGAGAATATATATATTGTCGATCAGTCTTTCACTCTCTCTCTTTCTCTCTCTATATATATTCAAACACGACGAGTGACTCTATGTTCCCTGTTGTTAGTTCTTCCAAAATGTGTGCTTGGTTCTACACGAGACTCTATATATATATATATATAATAAAAAGGCTTAATCACTAATATTCCATGGTCATAATTTATTCCATTGGAATCGTAAATGGATATTTTCCACTAATATTATCTACATATATATATATATATATATATATGTGTGTGTGTGTGTGTATGTATATATATATATATATATATATATATTAAGCTAAAATATATGTATATAGAAAGTCTAAATACACACACACATATATATATAACTAAAATATAAATATATTTATATTAGTCTAAAATATACATGTGTATATATATATATTTATTTATATATATATATATACATCCATACATCCATACACACACACACACACACACACATATATATATATATATATATATATTAGACTACCTATACAGGTGAGTTGATGTCTTGTGAAGAACCAATATATATATATATATATATATATATATATATATATATATGCTACTGAAAATGTCAGAAAATTGTTTGAATAGGACGCCCGAACAAGAATATTAAAACATGAATATGCCACTAATCTTTGTCGGTAACACAATCTTTTAGCCAATAATGGACTAATTTGAAGGAAACAATGGTAACTGCTATGATAGAACGTATCTTTTTTATTTCATGCTCAAATTCGGGTGGCACCTGAACTCAAAATGTGTGTGTGTGTGTGTGTGTGTGTGTGTGTGTGTGTGTGTGTGTGTGTGTGTGTGTGTGTGTGTGTGTGTGTGTGTGTGTGTGTGTGTGTGTGTGTGTGTGTGTAAACTATTCGACATCAGTAATCGTACTTACACTATTTACATTGTTCGGACTGATGTCCTAATCTTCGTTGCCATATTAACGAAGAAGAGGCATGGCACGTGGAATTAGAACAATCGAAATAAAGGATTCAGTTCGAAATTCCAATAACCTGAAGAAGGCCGGAGCGTACAATGGCTGAAACGTTGTAATAAATATGGCAGCAAAGATGAAGACAACAGTCCGAACAAAGTAAATAGTGTGCATCCTTACAATATCTCATCACAGAAATATGGACAGATGTCAATAACCTTACGATATTTTAAGTTTTCTACTAAGAGAAGTCATGATTAATGTCTGTTGTACATGAACAGCAGTCAAGTTAAAAATGTTTGGACAGTAAAGGGCTTCATTCGTTCATGCCTTTTTCCTATTTCTTTCTCTTTCCATCTTCATTAGTTCCTTCTTGTTACCTCTTTTGTTTATTTTTTTTTTCGTTACTTATTAAATCAAATAAAAAAATACATAAGAAAAGGAGCAAAGCGAAAACGGTAGGGATTGTGTGTAGATAATTCTAAATATTTATATCAATGGAATGAAAAAGTCTCTTACCAAATAATTTTCAGATGATGTCATGAATAAATTTCCAAATCGGAAATTGAAAAAAGCCATGAAATAAACTATGAGTGAAACGGCAAGAATAAATTGAAGAAAGAAGAATACGTCTAAGAAAAAAATATAAATACTTTTTGTGAGTGAAGTGAAAGAATGAAAATGAAGAGGAAACATAGGGAAAAAAAATAAAAAATGATAAGAAGAAAAAGAAATACAGATATAAGTGGAGAAAAAGAAAAAGAAAGAAAAAATGGGAGATGAAAAAGAAAAGGAAAGAAAGACATGGGAGAAGAAAAAGAAAAGGAAAGAAAGACATGGGAGAGAAAAAGAAAAGAAAAGAAAGACAAAAAGAAAAAAAAAAGAAAAAAGACATGGGAAGAAAAAAAAAAGAAAAAGAAAGAATGGGAGAGAAAAGAAAAAAAGAAAAATGGGAAAAAAAGAAAAGGAAAGAAAGACATGGGAAGAAAAAAGAAAAGAAAAAAAAAGAAAAAAAGAGAAAAAAGGAAAGAAAGACATGGGAGAAAAAAAGAAAAGGAAAGAAAGACATGGGAGAAGAAAAAGAAAAGGAAAGAAAGACATGGGAGAAGAAAAAGAAAAGGAAAGAAAGACATGGGAGAAGAAAAAGAAAAGGAAAGAAAGACATGGGAGAAAAAAAGAAAAGAAAAGAAAGACATGGGAGAAGAAAAGAAAAGGAAAGAAAGACATGGGAGAAGAAAAAGAAAAGGAAAGAAAGACATGGGAGAAGAAAAAAGAAAAGAAAGAAAAAAAGAAAAAAAAAAAGAAAAGAAAGACATGGGAGAAGAAAAAAGAAAAGAAAAAGAAAGACATGGAGAAGAAAAAAAAAGAAAAAAGAAAAGAAAGAAAAACATGGGAGAAGAAAAAAGAAAAGAAAAAAGAAAAGAAAGACATGGGAGAAAAAAAAAAAGAAAAAAGAAAGACATGGAGAAGAAAAGAAAAGGAAAGAAAAGACATGGGAGAAGAAAAAAAAGGAAAGAAAGACATGGGAGAAGAAAAGAAAAGGAAAGAAAGAATGGGAGAAGAAAAAAGAAAAGGAAAGAAAGACATGAGGAAAAAGAAAAGGAAAAAAAGAAGAAAAAGAAAAGGAAAGAAAGACATGGGAGAAGAAAAAAGAAGGAAAAGAAAGACATGGGAGAAGAAAAAAGAAAAGAAAAGAAAGACATGGAGAAAAAAAAAAAGAAAAGAAAGACATGGGAGAAAAAAAAAAAAAGAAAAAAGAAAAGAAAGACATGGAGAAGAAAAAGAAAAGGAAAGAAAGAAACATGGGAGAAGAAAAAAAAAAAAAAGAAAGATGGGAGGGAGAAAAGAAAAAAGAAAAAAGAAAGACATGGGAAAAAAAAAAAGGAAAGAAAGACATGGAGAAGAAAAAAAAAAAAGAAAAGAAAGACATGGAGAAGAAAAAAGAAAAGGAAAGAAAGACATGGGAGAAGAAAAAAAAAAGGAAAGAAAGAGAAAAAGAAAAAAAAAAAAGAAAGAAAGAATGGGAGAAAAAAGAAAGGAAAGAAAGAATGGGAAGAAAAAGAAAAAGGAAAGAAAGACAGAAAAGAAAAAAAAAAAAAAAAAAAAAGGAAAGAAAAAAGAAAGAAAAAAAAATGAAAGAAAGAAAAAAAAAGAAAGAAAGACATGGGAGAAGAAAAAAAAAGGAAAAAAAAAGACATGGGAAAAAAAAAAAGGAAAGAAAGACAAAGAAAAAGAAAAGGAAAAAAGAAATGGAATGAAAAAGAAAAAAAGAAAAAAAGAAAAAAAGGAAAGAAAGAATGGGAAAAGAAAAGAAAAAGAAAAAAAAGAAAAAAAAAAGAAAGAAAAAAATGGGAGAGAAAAGAAAAGGAAAGAAAGACATGGGAGAAAAAAAAGAAAAAGAAAAGAAAAGACATGGGGAGAAAAAGAAAAAAAAAGAAAGAATGGGAAAAAAAAAAATGGAAAGAAAGACAAAAAGAAAAAGAAAAGGAAAGACAAGGGAGAAGAAAAAGAAAAAAAAAGAAAGACATGGAAAGAAAAAAAAAAAAAGAAAAAAAGAAAAAAAAAGAAATGGAAAGAAAGAAAAAAAAAAAAAAAAAAAGACAAAGAAGAAAAAAAAAAAAGAAAAAAAGAAAGACAATAAAAAAAAAGAAAAGAAAAGAAAAAAGGAAAAGAAAAAGAAAAGGAAAGAAAAGAAAGGGAGAAAAAAAAAAAAAAAGAAAAATGGGAGAAAAAAAAAAGGAAAAAAAAAAAGAAAAGAAAAAGAAAAGGAAAGAAAGACATGGAAAAAAAAGGAAAGAAAGAAAAAGATGGGAAAAAAAAAAGAAAAAAAAAGAAAAAAAAAAAGAAAAGAAAAAGAAAAGAAAAGAAAAAAAGACATGGGAGAAGAAAAGAAAAAAGAAAGAAAGACATGGGAGGAAAAAAAAAAAAAAAAGAAAAGAAAAGAAAAAGAAAAAAAAGAAAGAAAAATGGGAAAAAGAAAAGAAAAGGAAAGAAAGAAAGAGGGAGAAGAAAAAGAAAAGGAAAAAAGAAATGGGAGAGAAAAAGAAAAGGAAAGAAAGACATGGGAGAAGAAAAAAAAAAGGAAAGAAAAGAAATGGGAGAAAAAAAAGAAAAAGGAAAGAAAGACATGGGAAAAGAAAAAGAAAAAAGAAAAAAGAAAGAAATGAAAAGAAAAGGAAAAAAAAAAAAAAAAGAAGAAAATAAAAAAGAAAAGAAAGAAAGAAAAAGAAAAGGAAAAAAGACATGGGAGAAGAAAAAAAAAAAAGAAAAAAGAGAAAAAGAAAAAGAAAAAGACATGGGAGAAGAAAAAGAAAAGGAAAGAAAGACATGGGAGAAGAAAAAGAAAAGGAAAGAAAGACATGGGAGAAGAAAAAGAAAGGAAAAGAAAATGAAAAGAAAAGAAATGGAAAAAAGAAAAGAAAGGAAAAAAGAAAAAAAAAAGAAACATGGGAAAAAAGAAGGAAAGAAAGACATGGGAGAAGAAAAGAAAAAGAAAGAAAAATGGGAAAGAAAAAGAAAAAGAAAGAAAGAGGAGAAAAAGAAATGGGAAAAAGAAAAAATGGAGAAGAAAAGAAAAGAAAGAATGGAAAAAAAAGAAAAAGAAAAAAAAAAGACATGGGAGAAGAAAAAAAGAAAAGAAAAGACATGGGAGAAGAAAAGAAAAGGAAAAGAAAGACATGGGAGAAGAAAAAAAAAAAAAAGAAAAAATGGGGAAAGAAAAAAAAGAAAGGAAAGGACAAGGGAGAAGAAAAAAAAAAAAGGAAAGAAAGACAAGGGAGAAAAAAAAAAGAAAAAAAGACATGGGGAGAGAAAAAAAAAGGAAAGAAAGAAAAAGAAAAAGAAAAGGAAAGAAAAACATGGGATAAGAAAAAGAAAAAGAAAAAAACAGGAAGAAAAAAAGAAAAGGAAAGAAAGACAAAAGAAAAGAAAAGGAAAGAAAGACATGGAGAAGAAAAAGAAAAGGAAAGAAAAACATGGAAAAGAAAAAAGAAAAGGAAAGAAAGACATGGGAGAAAAAAAGAAAAAGGAAAGAAAGACATGGGAGAGAAAGGAAAATATAAAAAAAGGAGAATAAAAGAAAGGAAAGAAAGACATGGGAGAAAGAAAAAAGAAAAAGAAGAAAAGACATGAAGGAGGGGAAAAAAAAAAAGAGAAAAAGAAAAGGAAAAAAGGGTAGAAAAGAAAAGACAGAAAAGACTTGGAGAGAAAAAAAAAAAAAAAATGAACCCCTTAAAAAGGAAAAATTGGGAAAAAAAAAAATAAAAGAAAAAGAAAACAAGGGAGAAGAAAAAGAAAAAGGAAAAGAAAGACATGGGAGAAGAAAAAGAAAAAAAAAAAAAGAAAAGAAAGAAAAAATTAAAGGAAAGAAAGAAAAAAGGAAAAGAAAAGACATGGGAGAAGAAAAGAAAAAGGAAAAAAGAAAAAGAAAAAAGAAAAGGAAAGAAAGACATGGAAAGAAAAAAGAAAGAAAGGAAAAGAAAAGACATGGGAGAGAAAAAAAAAGGAAAGAAAGAATGGGAATAAAAAAAGAAAAGGAAAGAAAGACATGGGAGAAAAAAAAAGGAAAGAAAGACATGGGAGAAGAAAAAAAGGAAAGAAAAAAAACAGGAGAAAAGAAAAAGAAAAGGAAAAAAGAAAATGGGAAGAAAAAGAAAAGAAAAAGGAAAAGAAAGACATGGGAGAGAAAAGAAAAAAAGAAAAGAATATGGGAGAAGAAAAAGAAGGAAAAGAAAGACATGGGAGAAAAAAAAAAAGAAAAAGAAAAAGAAAAAAAGAAAAGGAAAGAAAGACAAAAGAGAAGAAAAGGAAAAAAAAGAAAGACATTGGGAGAAAAAGAAAAAAAGAAAAATGGGAGAAGAAAAAAAAAAAGGAAAGAAAGACATGAGAGAAAAAAAAAAAGGAAAGAAAAAAAAGGAAAGAAAAAGAAAAAAGGAAAGAAAGAAGAAAAAAAAAAAAGGAAAGAAAGACATGGGGAGAGAAAAAAAAAAAGGAAAAATGGGAGAAGAAAAGGAAAAAGGAAAAAAAGAAATGGGAGAAGAAAAAGAAAAGGAAAGAAAGACATGGGAAAGAGAAAAAAAGAAAAAAAGGAAAGAAAAGAAAACAAAAAAAGGAAAAAAGAAGAAAAAAAAGAAAAGACAAGGGAGAAAAGAAAAAAAAAGGAAAAAAAAGAAAGAAAGAAAAGGAAAAGAAAAAAGAAAAAAAAAAGGAAAGAAAAGACATGGGAAAGAAAAAAAAGAAAAGAAAGAAATGGGAAAGAAAAAAGAAAGGAAAGAAAGAATGGGAGAAAAAAAGGAAGGAAAGAAAGAAATAAAGAAGAAAAGGAAAGAATGGAGAAGAAAAGAAAGAAAAAAAGGAAAGAGAATAAAAGAAAAGGAAGAAGGAAAGAAAATCGGAAAAAGAACTTTCTCAAAGACATGGAAGAAGAAAAAAGAAAAAGGAAAGGAAAGACATGGGAGAGAAAAAAAAGGAAAGAAAGACATGGAGAAGAAAAGAAAAAAATGAAAAAAGAAAAGAAAAAAATAAAAGAAAGGGGGAAGAGAAAAAAAGAAAAGAAAACAGAAGAGGAGAAAAGAAAAAGAAAAAGAAAAGAAAAAGAAGAGGAAAGGAAATGGGAGAAAAAAAAGAAAAGAAAAAGAAAAGGAAAGAAAAAGAAAAGGAAAGAAAGGAAAGAGAAAAAAGAAAGAAAAGAAAGGAGAGAAAAGAAAGGAAAGAAAGAAAAAAAAAGAAAAGAAAAGGAAAAAGACATGGAGAAGAAAAAGAAAAAGAAAAGAAAGACATGGGAGAAAAAAAGAAAAGGAAAAAAAGAATGGAGAAAAAAAGAAAAGAAAAGAAAATGGAGAAGAAAAAGAAAAAGGAAAGAAAGACATGGGAGAAGAAAAAGAAAAGGAATAAAAGACATGGGAGAAAAAAAAAAAAGAAAAGAAAACATGGAGAGAAAAAAGAAAAGAAAAGAAAGACATGGAAGAAAAAGAAAAGGAAAGAAAGACATGGGAGAAGAAAAAGAAAAGGAAAGAAAGACATGGGAGAGAAAAAGAAAAGGAAAGAAAGACATGGGAGAAGAAAAAGAAAAGGAAAAAAGAAAAAAAATGAGAAAGAAACATGAAGAAAAATTAAGACATATTGAGAAATAACAAAATAAAATGCATGAAAACGGGAAATAAAAAATAAACATGCACGAACGAAGAGCAAAATAAACTAAAATTGAAAAATTAATAGAAAGTGAATGAAAAAGAAAGACAGAAAAAATAAAGATCAATTGAAAACAAAACAAAAAGCAAACAAACAAAAATAAAAAATTTGAAAATCGTTATAAGAAAAATGATAGGAAAATCTAAAGAAATAACAAGTTTGGAGCAATATGGATGGAAATAAAATATGGTACATGTAACGTTTTCCATTATCGCCCGACTTTTCTGTTGAATATTCTCTTCATTAGCTTTTATCTCATTTGTTTCATTTCATCATTTCTCTGATGATTGTTAATTCAAAAATCAATCCTCACTGAAGCTGAATACAATGAGTTGTAGAAGCGTCACAAAACCTATATAAATCTATTGATATTATTTCAGGATTTCAAATTCTTCCTTTTTCTTTTGGTCCCACGTCAATTATTAGGTTCTTCATACGTCTGATGTTTTGTCTCTGTAACATTTTCAAAGATAACGTTTCAACAATAGTGAGGTGAAGTTATTCTATAAGCAAACATTAATGGTTCTCGATACCAATAATAGAAATAGATAAATAAACAAAGAAAGAAAAAAGAAAAGACTGTAAGAAAGAAAATAAAAAATTATTTTTTTAAATAAAAGAAAGAGAAAATTAAAACTGTTAAAATCAAAAAGAAAGAAACTAAATCACAGAAATGCAAATAAAATGAAAAAAATGAAGAATTGTAAAAAACGATAACGAAATTAAATAATAAAAGTATAAAGGAAAGAAAAAAGTAAAGAACAAAACTAGGGAGAAGGATGGAAGGATGGAAGAGAAAAAGAAGGATAGATAAAGAAAAATAAAAAAAATAACGATTTCAAATACAAAAAGTGAAAGAATAAAAACAGATCGAATGAAAAATAGAAAGGAAAATAAAAATTGAATAGAAATAAATAAAAGAGGAAAAAGGGAGAAAGAAAATGAAGAAGTGAAAACCAAAGGGAGAAATGCAAACAGTTTGAATCAAAACTTAATAGGAAAAAAAATGAATATAGAAAAAAATAAATAAATAAAAAAGAAGGAAAAAGATATGAATAAATTACGAAGAATTCGATAAAGAAAAAATAAGGCAAAACTAAGGGATAAAGCTGAAATGCAATAACAACGAAATGACCAGAAAGAAACAAATCAAAAATAAAAGACGCTAAATAAATAGAACAGAAAAAAAGAAGCAAAAGAAAAAAGACAAAAATAAAAGGACGAGGCGAAATGTTTTTGATATTTTGGGGGTTTTTTCTTTAAGAATTATTCATATCGTATGCATAGCAATGTCGATGTCCTTTCATCTTCATTCTTTGCAAATGATTCATCTATTTATTTCTAAAATCATAAATGCCCCACAATTCATTTTGATCTTCCTTCAAACTCTTGTAGTACCTGCCAAAATTTCTCTGACAAACAAATCACGGCTTTTCCATTCCTACATGGCCGTATATATTCTCTGACCTGAATACAAATATATATAAACATGTCTATATTGGAATAATCGTGGATCTTTCTTGTTGACTATGGTAGCGTCTCCCGTGTCCGTTAACGAGGAAAACAAAAAAAAATTTTGAATCCCGATTTTCAAAATAAAACATCTCTGCCAAAGCCTAAAAATCTAAATTAATTATGTACTGATGTGACTGCTTCATTTTTGATTAATGAGAAAATGCTAATTAAAATGAAATGCCGACAGTTTTCACATACCTAAAATTTTTTAAAACCAATCGTTCTAGGTGTCCAAATAATCCCAAAATATAGAAGAATAGACTTAGAAATGCGGGAGATTGATAAAATTGATCTTGATTTATACATACATACATATATATATATATATATATATATATATATATATATATATATATATATATTGTGTGTGTGTGTGTGTGTGTGTGCAATATATTATATATTATTTATATATTATATGCGCGGTACTTATTGAAAGCGCTCAATATCAGAGGTAGATCATATATTTGCGTTTTCGATTGGCTCACGACGACCTTTTTTTTCTCCCACTCATAATAACACTAATAATATGCAATCTACATGAATCCAAAATTTTAAAAAGTAATCAGTTTGTCTGACGATCCCACCACCGTGAAACCCAGGGTCACAAACTCACATCAATCGAACTATATATATATATATATATATATATATATATATATAATCCTTTAGGTTTTTTAAACGGATTGTCAGGATAATGCTTAAAAAAAGGTAAAAAATGAACAGAATATAATCCATAAATGACCTTCCTGACGCCTAGATTCCCCTGGCATCTACGCGATGACACCATAATTTATGGAGAGAAAAACAAATCTAGTGTCGCTAATTTGGCCGTGTTGTCTCGAAAAGGACCTCCAATCGGAACTTTGTTCAGAAATTATGACGATGATATTGAATAATTGTTTGATCTGAAAAACAGAGATTTTGCAACAGAAACAAACCAGGATTTTCAGGTTGCTGGCTCTATTGGAATATTTTCCAAACAATGACGTGAGGAACACAAGGGGAATAATATTTTCATATTTTTGAGTTTTCAATTTCAAGGTCCTTTGAATTGGAGAGTTTTAGATCTCCAAAAAATACATTTGACATGTCTATAGACACATTTTCTTTTTTCGGTCCCTAATCACGATATCCTGATTAGCTTTGATTGTTCCGTGTTTTTAAAGTCCTATGAAATTGTTACAGGTCTTGGGACTGAATGACAAAGTCAGTAGAATTTATTGCTTTTTCCTTTACGTTGCAATTTTGGATCAGTTAACCCATTCTGTCCTGCCGTGTTAAACATCAGTAAACAAACCTGAAAAAGATCCTGTTTTTGTTTCGATATTTATCAAAATCTAAATTTTTGGAAATGTATGTTTTAATAATTTCTAGAAAAAGAATAAAATTGTCAGTTTCAGCTTAATTATCATTATTAGGCATTGATGTTATTATTATTTATTATTATTATTATTATTATTATTATTTCTGCTATGGACACATTACACCAAGTCTGCGGAAAGAAGGCAGGTCGTGGTGTGTTGTTATGGCCACATTTCCCCATGTTAATTTTTTTTTTTTTTTTTTTTATCTCCGATGAAGTTGCTAGCGTTACATAGACAAAGTTCTCCTTAGTGTGTGTGCTGTACTTAATAAGACAATTTTCTGTATGTCTCTTGTGGGGTTTCCAGGGATTCTTTTCAATGTGTTGTTTGTTCCATTTTTATAATTCCATAGCACCTATTACCACTGGTATTATTCTTGTTTTCAATTTCACATTTTTCTATTTCAATTTCCAGGTTTTTGTATTTTGATAGTTTTTCAAAAACAATCCGCTGGACAAGACCATATCAATTAGTAGCAAAGTTTTTTCTTTCTGGTTTTTGACAATAATGTGTCCGGCCTATTTGCTTCAATTTTTCTGTCTGTGTGGATGGTATAATCCCACAGAATGGTGACATCTTCTATTTCTTAACCGGCGGAATAGTGTTTGCCACATTTTCCAAAGTGTTTGCACATTGTCCAGTGTAAGTATTGCCCCCACTCTATCGTGACGATTTTTATATTCATTTAAGTATAGAACATCCTGAGATTAGATGGTCTATTGTTTCTTGGTATTTGTCACAGAACCTGCATTTGGATCCACATTATTATGTATGATATTTGCCTGAAAATTCCTAGTGAAAAATTTCTGGTCTTGTGCAAGAATAAAGCCTTCAGTTTCAGACTTTAATCCAGATGCTCGTAACCATCGATGAGTATTAACTTTATCAACATTGGGTTTATTTGCACGTTCTGGATATTGGCCATGCAGAGGTTTGTCTTGCCAGCGTTGTTTCATCTGTTCAAGGGCTTTATCCTTGGCTTTCTTTTTCATATCTTTTGCTGCAATAGTTGGTTCTTGGCTTCTGTTTTGATTTACTACAGAATCTACTAAATGTAAATGTTGTTTGTATTTACTGCCTTCTTTTTATTATTGAATATTTTTTTCTTTCTGTTTTCATGTTGTTTCACTAATTTTATCATCCAGTCATTTGTTGTTTCCATGTAAGTTAGTAAAGGTCAATAGTTGTTGTCTTGTATGACAATTCTAGCTGAATAAGACCTCTTCCACCTTCTTTTTACGGGGTATGTATAGACGGAGCCTTTGGATGATGCATCTTATACTTAGAAAGAAGCTTTCTTGTTTTAGAATCCATTTGTCTGATGTCATTTAGAGTCCAGTTCAAGATGTTGAAACTATATTGGACCACTGGGATGGCAAAAGGTTATTAATGGCCATAATTCTGTTCTGAAAATTCAATTGAAGATTACCCTTCATAGTACTTTTACGATGGTGAATTCTTCTTCATTTACACCAGGTACTTATAAGCTTCTCCTTGTTCTAAATCTTTTATTGTTCAGGGTCTAAACTAATAGAGGAAATAGCGATCCTCAATAAACTGTAGCTTTAGCATTTATCCAAATTGAATTTCATTCAATGTCTTTCACTGAAGCATTTTACAGTTTGCAGAAGACCTTCCAACTCATTGTCATTCCTGCATACAATTTTAAGTCATCCATGTAAAATAGATGGTTTATTTTTCTTTTGAGCTATTTTGTAACCGCATTCTGTCTTGTTAATTGGCTGGTTAATATGATATGCAAAATAATAAAAGGAGACAAAGACTTGAAATATCCTATTGATGTTTATTTCTGCCAGACTTATAGGTTCCATTTTTTATGATTGAGGTAAAGTGGAAGTTTTCCATATCGACATACATTGTTTGATGAAATTGATGATGATACCCTTGTACATACTTAAAGACTTTAAGATCCAGGAATGTGGTACACTATCGAATGCTTTACGATAATCTATCCAGGCAATACTAAGATTTTTTTTTTTCCACGGAAGCCTTTTCAGGATCATCCTATTAAT